TACCCAAAAGTATTGTGGCTAGATCATATGGGAGTTCTGTTTTTAATTTTTTTGAGGGACCTCCATACTGATTTTTATAGTGGCTGGACCAAGTATACAGGTGTATACTATTGTTTTCTGTGAGAAGTGCCCTACTGAGTTTAAGAAGAGCGTTTGTCACCACTGTCCTGTCATGGTGGGTAAAGGTGACCTAAAGCAGCCCAAATCTGGAAGGACCTGGTCTCACTCCTGATAAGGGAAGCCTGCTGTATCTACCCTCACCCTCATAGGTAGCACCCTGGTAGTGCTGACTGCTGACACAGGCTTTTTGGGTAGTTAAGATGATCTCTCTGCTCCCTCCCAGCTAAAACTGACTGTAAGCTAGAAATTTAGAAAGGAATTGCTAAAATTTTAAGGACTTACTCTTCTAATTAAGGAGAACTGGAGTTAATGGCTTAGTGGTTGTTCTATAATCAGGTCCTGCTACACATTGTTAAGGAGGTTGGCAGTAGGAACGTAAAGAGCCTTTAAGGACTGTGGCTAACAACAGGCTAGGAAAAGGACTTCTAAATATATAAAGCTTCCATTGAGAGTCATAGAGATGGGGAGGGGGTTTCAGCTGTGCTCCACTGAGACACAATCCTGGATTGTATCATCTAGTCCTGGAGGAGGGTGGTAAAAGGAGCAAAGGCTCAGGATTCATCCTGGTTTTGAATCAGTGGTTTGTCTGAGTTTGCTAGCCAGGTTGCTTTGGACAAGTGACTTGACCTCTAGGCCTCAAGTGATTCATCTGTGCAATCTGATTTGCATAGCTATCATCAAAGTTAAGCTGTGTGTGGAACCCCTGGCACATAGGATATTTTAATAAGCAATCACTGCTGGTATCCTGATTAGTATCTTTATAAATATCATTGCCAATATTGTACTCATGCACTTGTCATGGGTTAGACAGCACTTTCCCACATTCTCCCTGATTGCTATCTAACTTGCTCCTCTGTGTGCTTTTACAGCCTTTCTCTGTTGTATAACATTGTCACCCAGTGGGTGTATCTGTTAACCATATTAGAAGGAGAGCTCCTTAAGAGGGGAGGGACCACCACTTTCGGATGCCCAGTGCTGGCATCAGCCAGAGGCTCCATTCCATGTATCATGGATCCTTACAAGGAAGTACTTTCTCATAACTGGAGCTCTTCAAAAATAGAGCTAGTGGCCACCTTGAAGATATGTCAGGGGCCTGTCAGACACTGTTGTGAAGTAGCTGCATTGGCTGGGAGACTGGCTTTGAAGGGTTAATTAAGCCTTGGTTTTAGTCTACTGGTATTTTTACTAGATTAAGCTCTGATATTCTGTCAAGTTCATTCACGAGGGAATTTGTAGTCCTCTGAGTGGTGGACCCTGTGCAAGGTGAGGCAGGCATGGCAGACCTTGGGGATTCTTTCTCTTTCTGCTTCCACTGCTCTTTAAAACACCTACTTTAATCCCAGTAGGTGAAAAAATTTTAAGTTAAAAAACTCTTTAGAAGCAGGTGCCAGTGGCTCATGCCTGTAATCCTAGCTACTCAGAAGGCAGAGATCAGGAGAATCATGTTTTGAAGCCAGCCCAGGCAAATACTTTGCAAGACCCTATCTTGAAAAAAAAAAAAAAAAGGACTGGCAAAGTGGCTCAAATGGTAGAGTGCCTACCTATCCCTGAGTTCAAACCCCAGCACTGTCAACAAAACAAAACAAAGCAACAACCTTGTTAGGCCAGGTACTGGTGGCTCACACCTGTAATTCTCTCTATTTGGGATACTAAGATCAGGATACAATATCTAGATACAATACCTAGGCCAGCCTGGGCAGACAGTTTGTGAGACCCCCATTTTGAAATAACTGGAGCAAATAGGGATGGGGGCTCAAGCAGTAGAGTACATGCTTTGCAAGCATGAGGCCCTGAGTTCAAACCCTCATCCCACCCCCAACCCCTAAAAAACAAGGAAACAAAAAAACTTTTGAAAGGAATAGTTTTATATTCCTTTAATGTAATTGACCTGTCTCCCATAGGGGAAGGGCTGTCTGAAGATAGAGTTTCTATTCCTTTGGTAGGAATCAAGAGAGACTGTTTTTTTGAAACATCACATTGGCCTAAATGTTTTGGCAGCATAGACTGAATAACCTTTTGGAGGTATATTATTCTCTTTCATAGCATAAAAACTTCTCTGCCACTATCTCAAGAGTTCTGCAAGTTCATATTATATAAATATATGTAATAAAATATTTACTTAGGGTTTCCATAAAAATGTCCAAAGCAGAGAACAAGAAAGTGTCTCTTTGCTGGTTTCAGAGGCTCTGCTGGGAATTCTGAGTGAAATTCAAACCTCTTGAATATGTTTTGATTGGCCTCTGTTATGTTTTATCTCCTGTAATGAACTCTTTGTCGGTTTGTCAATTTTCACCAAGGACAGAAAGTTCATGTGTAGTAACAACACAAAGCCCAAATTTAAAATTATGGTTTAGATCATGATGTAATAATCCTTTCTCTTTTCCTTTAGTCAATATTTACCTGTGAGGCCAATATATTATAATCCTGACTTCAAAAGAAGGCATGTCATTTTACCTTCTCCAAGTGTTGATTTTAGATACTTGAAATATCAAATCTAGAAGCGGAGCCATCTGAGACCACTGACCACAGTCACTTTGGGTCAGGTTCTTCAGTCATCATGGGCAAGTTCTCTGCTCCCAGAGACCAGTGACATGGCTGCATGCCTGCAGAGCCAGGCTGGTTTCTCCAAGCTCTCCAAATAGCCCCTTCCCCTGTGAAGTCTATTGCATTACTCCATGGCAATAGCTGGGCTTTCTCCAAAAGGTTTTCTGTAATGTATAAATGCTACACGATTTGGCAGAAAACCCTAAAGAATGCCCTGTGGCAGTGTCTCTGAATGTCAGAGCAGATGAAGAATGGGGAATCTTAAGTTCTTTCCCTTACTTTAAGAAACCCCCATGTTTAAAATCTGAGGGAAGGATTATTCCCCAGTGAAAAAGGAGTAGGAGGATAATAAAGAGCTAAAATTTTGCAGATATAATGTCTGATACCTGAGAACTGATTATCCAGATCAGCAAAGGAGCAAATAAGGTTGTGTTAATAGCTCTTCGAGTCTTTGTGAGTATCAGTCAGTACTCTCAGTGCTCAGAAACGAAAGGGGGATTGATTGACTCAGCAATAGCTAAGTCCACAGGTAGACTGGGTTCAGGTTCAGCAGGATCCTGGAGTTCAAATGAAGTCATCATGGGTCTTTCTTTATTTCTCAGATTTATTATTTTCTATATTGACTTGAGTATGTGGCAAAGGCGTTTCGTGACAGCTCCAGGATTATAAGGTCCTTGGGATCCCAGGAGAGAGACTCTTTCTTGAAGTCCATATCAGTTCCTGAGGACAGACTCAGAATAAATCTATTAGGGTCAGATGCCTGTGCACATGACTGTTAACAGGGGTGGGTAAGTGGAATTTCATCAGGTGTATATTTCAATTTAAGCAGCTTCAACCCTGTGCTGTGTCTTCAGTGCATCTGTCTGCCCATGATGCTGTCTATAAACTCTATGTTTATTTTACATATGTATTCTTTTTTATATCCTGTCCATTTTGTGTATTTTCATGCATACATAAGTATATGTGTATATGTATTTACATATGTGTATCCACATGTAAGAATATGTACATATATATACACACCCACACACATATTCATGTAAACCATGTTTGATATATTATTTACAGGAAGTTCTAGAATAAATCTTAAGTATAACTTAATCACCTCTCCAACTCCACTTGAGATACAGTTCCGCAATTCCACCAGCCTGGGTGATCTTGTCACCTTCTGGATCTGGTAAGCAGGACAGGACCTGTTGAAGAACAGCTGCACTGGGAAAAGAAGGGGCATTTCTAAAAGGACAAAAAAAAAAAAAATGTAGGTCTTTTGCCAAGGGAGAAAAAAACAAAAAGCCAAAAAAGCCCAACTATTGATTCTTCCACTCAATAAATATTGAGTGCCTTCTATATGTTTGGGTACTCTTCCAGGCAAATAGTTTTATGAGCTAACTCTAAAGGCAGAGAGATAGACAACAGGCATGTAAGCCAATGAAGATCCACTGTGACATCTGGTAGGGATGAGAGCTCTGGAGACAGATCATAGTAAGCATCATCAGATACACATTAGGTGCTTAACCAGCTCAGGAGAAGGAAAGAGAGGACAGAAGACTCTCTTCTTGCTTGGGGATTCTCTTTCAGTTGACTCTTATAAGATAAGGAGGATACTGATAGGCAGATGCTACTGAGATCAATCCGAGCATAGGAATGAGCACAAGCCAGGCAAGCATCTGAATGGGTACAGGTATGATGTATTCAGGGAGTAGAAAAGAGATTCCCAAGACAGCTACATCCAGAGCCTGGGAAGGATGGGCTGCAAGGTTGATGAGGTTGAGTGGAATGAGACTATACAAGGCCATAAACATCAGGCTAAGGAAAAACATCACCAGATGCGTGTTCAAAAGGATTATAGCAGCAATCTGGAGGGCCAAGTGAGCAGATGCAGAACCAAGGTGAGCAGGTCAGACCTGCAGCTGACCATGGCTCAAGTGGTAAGGATGGGGGACAGAGCTCCCAGGGGCAGTGTCTTGTAGGATTTGGGGATTAACTCACCTTTAATGACATGAAAGGATTTATTTATCATCCAGAATGAGCCTGTCTTCTTTTGCAAATCTACTGATGTTTATTAAAAATAAGAAGCCTTTCGAAATGGAAGACATCTTGTGAAAATGGTTAATCTTGTTTGTTTACAGTAAAAATCCTGTTCTCTTTTAGTATGCAATGAGTAGTGGCAACAGTATAGGTCACAGAGCTTAGAAGGAGTCCCTGGCAAGACTGGAACCGCTGCCCACACTTAAGACCCAGGCCTGTGGGAGTGATATGCACTCTTGGAAAGAATTCTGGGTGAGGGTTGCGCTGGCCTTCCAACCAGGCTGATGGTCCTTCTTGTGCATTTACAGGCACCTTTGAAGTGGGCGTCCACATTGCTGATGTGAGTTACTTCATTCCTGAGGGATCCCATCTGGATAAGGTGGCTGCTGAGAGAGCCACAAGTGTCTACTTAGTTCAGAAGGTAAAACTCACTCTCAGTTTCTTAAATTAAAAAGTGTCCTTCCACTTAGTATTCTTTCTTATTTTTAATTTAAATATTTCTCCCTTTTCTCAAAAATTTTTTGTGAGAAACAATAGTCTTATCTGAATCTTTTATCTAATAAGATCTAAGGTGGTCACACCTATACTACTTGGGAAACAGAGATCAGGAGGATCATGGTTCGAGGCTAACCTGGACAAATAGTTCACAAAACCCTATCTCAAAAATACCCAACGCAAAACAGGACTGGCAGAGTGGCTAAATGGTAGAGCACTTGCCTAGCAAGTGTGAGGCCCTGAGTTAAAACCCCAATACTACCAAAAAAAAAAATGTGCTTGCCCTCTGTTATTGCATGTTTTCCTAAAAGGTGCCAAGGAAAGACACAGGTTTTCATCTCAGGCCTCATCTCAGAGGAACCCTGACATAGAAGTACCTCCAACAGTGGTCAGCTTCAAAAAGGAGTGAGGAAAAGTTGCTAGGCACACGGGAACCCAGGTGCCAGTGCGCAGGCCACTGAGCACTACTTGCCACTGTCCCTGCTCAGCAGGAGCTTGCAGCACTAGCAGCTGCAGAAGGCCCTGTAACTGCCCATCAAGAGAATACAGAGAACCAGGGACTTGGTGGTGCTGGAAGTCATGCAGACTGTGGAGGACACTGGGACCAATTGAAAGGTACACATAAGTAGAAAGATGCATCTGATACAGAGGAGGGTCATGTTTGATATCACAAGTGAACTGGAGAAAGACTGATTGCTAACCTCGACCAGCCTGTGGGATGGCTGGGTCACATACAAGAATAAAGTCTTAGCAGAGCTTTCTACAACCCATCACTTTAATCAGGGGTCAGGTGATTAATATAAGATTTCTGGAATATTTTGAGAAAATACTTCATTTTACTTAAATAGCATTCTTATTATGGAACCAGTAATCCTAAGGGATTGTTGGAAAAGATACACAAAGTAGACCTTCTTCCAATTATGAAGCAGTTTAATAACAAACGAAGGATGAGTTCACTGTGAACACGAAAGTTCCCAGCCTCAAAGATGAAGGGAAGGAATATGATAGATTCATAATTATTATCACAGGAGACAAAATTAGCAATATCCTATTTTCTGTGGAAACTCAAACCACAGAACAAAGGACAGTTATATCATGCTGAAATAAATGCACTTTATAAAGATGTGACAGCAAATAGGAAAAGTATTGATTTGCTCATCAGAATTTTGGAAGCCATTGCTGTCTGCAATTTAATCTTATGCTTAGTTTATTACTTTTATAATTTAATGCCCCTGTTTTGAAGATCCAGTGCCATCACCTTCTCAGTCATCATGGGAGCCTTGCTGGCAAGAGGGAAAGAAATAGCAGGGAAGATACCCAAAGGAAAGTTAGTTAACTTTGAAGCTATGACAGCCCCTGGTTGTGAGACCTTCAGCAAAATAGCGAAAAGCTGGATGAAACTTGAAAAAACATCTCAACTTTTTAGAAGGTTCTCCCATCCATATCAGAAACATTCCCAAGGTGAAGGTCGATGATCAAGGTGCTAAACTTAGGCTCCACCCCAGGCTATCTCAAGAAAATCTAGTTCACTGAGGGATTTGTACACTTGAAGGGCAGGACCTCTTGTCCCTTAAGTTATTTTTAAAGTACAGAATTATTAAGAAATTATGTACATTATTACTTTTGATACTAATTTTTGATAGGAATTGAATACTTGAAATCATTTTCCTTACTTTTCTGAACCATAACAGTAATCATGAAAACAGGTGTTTGGGCCGGGGAAGCTACTTGATCAGGAAGGGAAGTGTTTGTATTACCCAGCAGCCTGTTAGCTTCCACATATAAAGTCATAGGGCTCCTTCCTCACACCAAAGAAGTTTACTTCAAAAACCAAGAACAAACTAGGAATGTCTTCATTCCTTTAGAGATGTGAATGTTTATTAGATTTTGCACCTTTTGTGCAAAATCTTTCTCAACTCATGTGCCCCTGTGTTTGGGCTCTCCATCTTACTGGAACTCTGAATGCCCACCAGTCATGCCACAATTCACAGGAGCACTGACTGTGAACCACACAGACAGTATTTGCCAATGTCCCAACACTGAATTATTGAACCATGCTTTGGTTTCCTTTGTTGGAAAAAAAAATAAAGGTGATTTCTATAACTCACTGTGTTTGGGCACTGGGGAAAGAAATGAGGGAAAATACCTGCTTTCATAGCGTTGTTCCAAAGCAGGTAGGGCCCAGGAAACTTAGCCTACCCCATTCATCAGTTTTTGTGGAATTTAACTTCCAGCCCCACCCATTCATTCATGTGTTCTTTGTGGCTGCTGTCACCTGACAGCAGCAGAGTAGAATGACAGTTTATTGCCTTTAAGAAACTGTTTTAGAGTAGAATAATGATTTTTTGGGGGTAGGGGTCACCTTTTGGAAGTAAGCTATGTATGGGCCCAAAATTTTCTTGATTTGGGTACTATATTTTTTCTATACTTGGATTATAATATGGGTATAATTGTGCTACTCTTTCCTGGATGGTTTGAGGACTTAATGAAAGTATATCCAGGACAATTCAATCCATTTCCCATTTACTAGCAAAGTAGCTTCAAAGGCATCTGGATTTCTAATTAAACTTATTTAAGTTCTGAAAGTTCAGCTACTTAAACTCTTTAAATTTCTTGAGGCCAGAATAATTTCAAACAGTATATCCCCTGTTGACTTCTAATGAAATAAAAATTGGACAAGATGAGGAATGAGACTGAGATGGTGAAGAATCTTCTGGATACTCTGGGAACTTGCTAAGAGAGCCTTGGTGAACTATGAATTACTCTCATCCTCTCCACAGGGGTTGTTGTGATCCCTCTTTTCCAGAAGATTCTCTGTAAAGCTTCTGTAGAACTTTATACCTCTAGCTTCAATTAAAGCAGGATTCATTTTGAAAAAAAAAAAAAAAAAGAAACTGTTTTAACCCTTGTTCTGAAGGGTGGATGCCAAGCTGGTCCTGACCTGCCTTTTACAACGTGGCCAATGGAGACCCTGAGACAGAAAAACAGAGGGCAGCCAGGAGGAGCCCAGACTGTTCCTGTAGTCACAACTCCACCACTCTTGCTAAGTCAGTGTCCATAGATCTTTCTCTGCCTGGCTATGAAAGGAAGGAATTGGACAGAACATCTCAAAATGTCCATTTCATCCTGTGTAACTGGCATATCCCACAAGTAACCATGAGAATCTATTCCCTTAACAAGTATTTACAGAGCACCAAGTTCTGCCAGGCACTGCAGTAGGCCCTGGGAATAGTGGTGAATGAAAGACCACACATGAGTTATTTCTAACCCCCTCACTGCAATTTGTGAGTTCTTCTACCTTTCTTTCTCTCCTCTGACACTACTCAGCTACTCATTTGGCTCATCTTATTTTTTGACCGTCTTGACTTTCACTTCCTATCTGGCTTCTGTAAACTCATTGGTTCAGTTTTGGATCTCTATCTAAACTAGCTTGAACCTTTCTTCCTCCCTCCCTGGTCCCATGCCCTAGGACATGACTTCTGGTATTTGCTCATTGACTTTATCAAGTTAAGAATTATGTCTCACACTCCAACCACACATTCCAAGGCATTCTGAGAGCTAGATACCATCTGCTTGGCCTCCATCTCTCAGGGACCAGAGACCAGCCAAGGTGCCAAATCTACTCCATTCTGGAAACTTCCAAATATCATCACCCAGGTAAAGAGTATAGCTGCCCAGTCTCTGTCCATTGCCTAACATGATTGGCAGCTCCCATTGCCAGCATGTCTGTGTGCCCACCTTACTGGCAGAAGAAATGCTAGGCTGTATACTCTGCCCTCATAAATAGTGTATCCTGGTAGCCCATTGTGGCCCTTGCTGCTGCCATTCCAGCTGCTGGGGAGATTCACATTGTTGCCTGCCATAGGTAAAGCTATTAATGTGGTGCCAAGCTCTAGCTCTGAGGAAGCCACCCACACAGGGAGCCTGGAGAGGCCCTGGGAAGAGGGTTCTGAAGCTCTGTGCTTTATGAACCTGTAGATCTTGGCCCAAGCATTTTTGGCATGTCTTTAAGACAGCCTTCTCCTTTTCTTGAGTCTTGTTGACCTCTTTTCCCACCTTTACCCCTTCCAGAACTAGAGCTTGAGCAACTTGTGCTCCTGCTGCTCCCCAGAGTGGACTGCCCTTTTTTGTAAGAATGTTATTTAGATGCTATCAGGGCAGGCCACATGTATGCTATGTAATGCTCACCCTGGAAATGTTCCCTCCCTTAGGGTTCCACTGAAGCCAGCCTCATGTTCTTCTCATGCCTGTGAAGAACTTCTAATGGTCTCATGTTCTTCTCAAAGAGAAGGCTGAATCTCATCCTGTCAACACAAGGGGTAATAGATCTTTTAAGAACCAGTGTCCTGCCTTCTGGGTTTTTTTTCCCTGACCAACAGTCTGAAAATTGTCATTGACTACTTCATGTCCATCTTCATACCCACTACTTTCCCATCATACCCTTGCCCAGGATTCCAGTGAACTCACCAACTGGCAGGAGTTCATTGAGACCTGGAGGCAGAGGAGCTCGCCTAGATTGCAAGTACATAACTGGCCTTGGGGGTTCAAGGCTTATGAGTATGCCCAGCTGTGGTAGTATACTTTCTTTGTAAGCCTGAAACAAAAGTTCTGTATTAAGTATCTCAGCTTATGTTAGGAGTTTCTTGGCTTCTTCCTCTTTCCTATTGAACCCCATTTCTGCCAGAACTGCCACAGCTTCAACATGGACATCCTCTAAGGTTCCCAGCCAGTCCCACAATCCAAAACCTTCTGTATCTGTGCTCTGGTGCATAAGATCAGGACACCTCCCACCTCAACAATATCTGTCAGCATGTGGAAGATGGACTTTCAGATATACCTCTATGGGGTCCAATAAGTTATAATACCTCATGTGGCCTTTGAATGCTCAGCTGTCTACTAGCAATTAAAGGATAAGATCTATTGAAC